TTGTGGACATGCCTGACATGACAGTGGTGTAGTACCAGGTGTGTTGTTTGGATGTACATAAGTACCTATGTATTGTATGTATAGGTACCTATGTATTTTTAGCTCATACCAAGGGGCTTTTACCTTGTGGACATGCCTGACATGACAGTGGTGTACTACCAGGTGTGTTGTTTGGATGTACATAAGTACCAATGTTGCATTCTTTGCATTTGGTTTGTGCCATCTCGTCCTGGTAGAATCCTCCTGCCGAAGATACGCCCAACCCAAATTATAATAGATAATGGTAATTGAACTGAGTGAAGTGCAATTTGGTCTGTAATCAATTGAGTGATTACAAAATTGCACAACCAAGTAGCAGGAGTGCAATTTGTAATGTAATTGTACTTCCTTGTCCAATCAGAATCGAGCAATTTTGTTGAATGTATTATAAGATCTGTAATGGAATGAGTGATAAAAAATTGCTCGGCCAAGTAGCAGGAGGACTAGCAGGAGTGCAATTTGTTATTCATAAATTTGATTTTAGACCATAATTGCACAACACAAAATTCAAATACCACTTAATTATACCTATTTTGAAATCTCCTGAAATAATGATAAATTTAACATTTAGTTTTAATGTAAAATTTAGTTAAGAAACTGTGTTTCACCTAAAAATTCCCCTTCAATTTTTTCTCATGCTTTTTTGGGGGCCTTTTTTTCTCTGATGTTATCGGTTGAATGACATGCTTTCTGCAATATAATTGGCTCTTTAAAACAGTGCGGTTTAAAACCAAGAGCCAAGAAAAGAGCCAATCAGATTAGAGCTAATCAGATTAGAGCCAATCAGATTAGAGCCAATCAGATTAGAGCCAATCAGATTGCAGTAATCACCAGTGATCATAATGATTGTAACCAGTGGCATAATTCAGCTTTTAAGAACTGCTATTGAAAGTCATCTGATATTTTTTGGATGCTATAAAATATAACACTAGTTTAGGTTTACAAACATTAGCATTGTAATGTTAATTTGATGACCATTATCTTAATAGTTTTTGCTGAGTTGCTTTGCTTCATCACTGAGCGAATCTAGCCTCCTCTGCAAGCTACTCTTGGGTTTTTGTGGCGATTCGACAGGAAGCCCATAATTATTAGTCTCCCCCACAGCCGCTTTCAGTGTCGTCACGCAACGCTTTCTCCCCTGACTAGCGGCTGCTTACCCGAGCACAACATTCCTTTCCTATGAATTAACCAATCACGGCTCAGTTCTCGAAAACCAGGAACCATTCGCGCCATATGGAAAGCACGATGCGTCGAAGGCTTCGAAAAAGCAGCTAAGAAATTTCGCCTCAAACAGTTTAATGATCATCAGAAAGACGCTATACGAAAGATTTTACAAGAAAAACAAGATTTCTTTGAAAATCTGCCTACTGGATATGGGAAATCGCTCAAAGGAATAAAATATTGGCG